TTGTCCGCCGCGGTAGCGTCGTGGCGTCCCTGGCCAATCGGGTCTTTCATTCACGTGATCGCCTGAGGTCTAGACCCCGAACCGCGACAGCCTGGTCTGGACGCTAGCCATCCGACTTCAGAACGGCAATCCTGATGAATAAGATATGCAGGCTGTCGAAAACTGTGTAGCGTGAGTATGCTACAAACAAGAACCGACTCGAGGAAGCGACGGCACTGAAGTGACTCGACCTCCGGCTGCACCAGCGGACATCTCTCTCACTGGCAGTGAGTTACAGTGAGGGTTGAGAGGTAGGATGGGCCCTTCCGTCCGTCCAACAACCGTGCTCAGCGCTCATGCGCATCAGCCGCGCTCACCTCAAACTCAGAACAAAGAAACTTGCGTGAGCCACTCGCAGGAAGCAAAAGCAAATATTCCTAAACTTGGAAGCCGTATTGATGCAGGCTGGGAACAAATGGCGCCCGCGGATAATATAAATTGCAGCGCCCGCCTTGTCCTCCTTCGTTCCAAACTACATCCTCCGTCCCATTTCGCGACATTTATATTGCCCGCAAACGTCGCCTTCACGTTCTGAAAGCCGCGTCGTGTCACTCAGACTAACAAGCACCGTTTGTGACGCGTCTCCTCAATCACAACGTCGACAATAAGGCTACATCGCTCCTCGATCCTACTACCCACGCCTTCGCCACTCGCACAACAATCATATACAACACTCAGAAAGCCCTCCTTTCGCGCTCACAACATCTCAGCGTCACATACAACCAACCGCCCCACAACCAGGCCACAATGCCCATGAACAACACCCACGCCACATCGCCAGCCTCGCCGGCCACAACGTCCACACTCGCGGAATTACACGACCTGCACAGATCAACAGCGTGGCCCGATTCCTGGCTCGAAACAACCAACGCCCCCGCATCCGACGCTCCCCACGACCTCCGCGGCGTCGTGCAGCGGGACCGCGTCGGCATGAGCGACCAGCTCGCGGAGAGAGAAACGAAACGGGACCGACTGGATGCCGAGCTGTTCGGCGCCGCGGGCGACTACGACGGCTACGCCACCGAGTCCAACGTTGAGGAAGATGGCCAGTCCAGCGATGACGACAGTGGCTACGGCGGCGACATCGACAGCGACGGCGCGCAAGGTCAACTTCCGCCTGTTCGTCGACGTGTATCTCCGCCGCTCGAGCACCGCGAATATCGCGTCGTGAGCTCTCCGCCAACTTTCCTGCAGAACCGAGGTGAGTCCCCCTTATCTGTTGTTTGATTCGGATAAATATTTACTCCCCTTGTGTAGCCCTGGCTCGCTCAAGTCCTGGACAGCCGTCGCATATCCCTGAATACAGCGGCCAGCCACCCAGAGACGACGATGTTCGGCGAGGGACTCGCACAGCGGTATCTACCGCTGTTCAGTTCGCGTCGAACGGACTAGCAATACATACTGCCATGCAAGGCGCCATCTTGTCTCGCAACCACAACCACCGATACGGCGCACCCTCGGGCCGTGCCGACCGCGTCCCAGCGCCGCTCGCCATAAGCGGCTACCGGGACGCCATTAAGATGGAGAACCAGAGAGGAAAGAAGAGAGCATTGGAGGTCGAGGAAGCCCCGGAAGAGGAGGTCAATGAAGAGCCCCGGAAGAGGCACGCTGCGAACAAGGAGAACGTTGCCGCTGGCCCCAGAGAAGACGACCAGGACGACCATGGCCATGAGGGTCCCAGGCCTAAGCGCAGTAGGCGCAGCCCGCTCCGCCCGTCCTTCTGCCATCCGTCTCGCCATGTGGAGAATCGTGACCGAGTCCACGCGGCAGGTACTGCCAATTTGCCGACTGCCGCGCCCGCCGCGGCCGTTGCTCCGCCTGCCCCCGCGCCGGCCGCGCCTGTCGCTGCGCCGATGCCCGCCGTCGTCGCGCCGGCCGCGCAGCCGGCTCAAGGTACCTTCGTCGTCATACCGCCTCCACCCGCCGCACCAGCTCCGCCCGTGCCTACCTACCTCCCGCCAATCGCGCAGGTACTCGCTGGTCTCCCTCACCCGCCGTACAACATCGTGCTGCCTCCGATCGTCGCACACCAGCCTCCACTCGCCGCTATATACCTCCCGCCAATCACCCAGGTACTCGCTGGTCTCCCTAACCCGCCGTACAACATCGTGTTGCCTCCGATCGTCGCACACCAGCCGGCGACAACGCAGAACCCCAGGATGCAGTTGGGCTTCATCATGATGTAGCGACCCGTGGTGTCTTATCCAACATAACGCGGAGAAATAGTTGTGAACTTATCTTGAAATGTGTAAAGTAGTCAGCCCTTGTCTATCGATTCTTTGTTGCGTATCTCGGGACGATCAGCCTTGAACTAAGTGTGAGCTGGAGCTCGTAGCTGTGATAACACCGGCTTGTCGTTGTCGTCAGTATAGTCGTGAATGAATGCGGCAACTCCTGTCGTAGCCAGGTATATGAGGGGAGGGGGAGAGATCTGGAAAGATGCGGCTGGAAGCTTGAGAGCGGGGATGTGAAGATTTTCAGTAGCGTCGTGGCGTTTGCGATCGATCGGGGTCCTGGGTGCACGTGATATGAAGGCGCCTCGGGAGGGCCTGGGCTCACTCTCATAGGCCTCCTATGCCCATCGAATTCTGCGAGTAAGTGCGTCCTCGGCTGGGACCGTACACTCACCTGCTGCGCGACATCTTTATACATGGTAGCTTCATTTTATATTTCATGTTAGATAAGGTCTGACTCCGCCGAAAGTTTCCACCGAGGCAAGCGGTAAATTGTTGGCTCGCTTGTCCGTTTACGGATTGAAAGACGACCACCCGACCAGTTAATTATAGACACGCACCGGCGATAGCGACTCCGTAGATTTTCCGCAGATGGTCTCGACTTTCTTGGCCGACGGTGTTGGGCAAGCGTGAGTGGCTGACTCGCTCGTCTCTCGGAGGTTCCCGGACTTGGTGGACGAGCGTCGCCTTATGGCACGGCCCTAAGTCGCGTATAAGAACTACTTAAGACGTCCATTATACCATCAGCATCTTGCGGAATAATCATGATCATCCTCGTCCCTTCGCCGCGTGACCCATGCGTGTGGGACGAGGACGTGCGTGCGC